CCTCAGGCAACAGGTGATGAGGAGAGGATACTTGTTTCCAAGATAATATTTTGGGAAACAGTAGCTCAAGTTAGTCACAGTTCTCTTTAGACATTTTGTATAGTATGTACCTATGTAACTATTTGTCACTGAAGACAGTAAATTTGTGCAATAGAAAAAGAAAGCAGATTTTCTTGGACTGAAAGCTCAGGTGAAATGTATGTGGTGGTAGGGGAAATCACATGAAGGTGTAATACAAAAATTATACATTTATCTCATTTCTGTAATTGGGAGGTCTTTTACTTTCAGGCATAAAAAAGTGTACAATCACTCTAAAACCATTCTTAATACCATACCAGTGAGGAGGAGTAATTACAAAGCCTTTTTTTCCCCTCAATGCTGCAGTGCTGTCAATTCCACAAAACACCTGTGCAATTTAGTAAACTTCATATACTGAATACTAGTCATTTCAAAGGTGAACTTCATCTGTTGTCTAGTTTACATTACTGTTCAGCTGATTCTTGACTGAAAAATGTAGGGGGTCTTACTGAAGAGGCTTTATTTTCCTAATAGCATGGATGCCAGAGGACTTCAGGATATACAGTGAGAGAGCCAGCTGTATTCAGCACTATAATATGCTTTCCATTACTGATAGAAATAATAATAAAAAATTAATCTGAAAATTATGAAATTCTTATTAACATGATTCCATTTAAGTGAATGGAGAGACTGTCTCTGCTAGCCCTAAAGATACATATATTTTACGGTTGGTATAGCAAGAATCTGTCTCTCTGCACATACCTATGCTACTATGAGAGAACCAGTGGAGTTGTGAGCCTTCCGTTTTCTTCCCTGTTAAGTATTTGATCTAAGTTTTTGAATGTGAGTGAAAATCCATTCCACTGACAAAAGTGCTTGTCACCTCACTTTGGTCTCTGATGGCTCAATGCCCTATACTTTTTCTATGGAACAACTATCCAGGTATTCCTCAACCAGACCCATCTGTTGCTTAGAAACTTTTAATGTAAAATACTATAAGGTGAAGACTTTTGTCAAAGCTCAGCATTCTTTGGCAGTGACACATCTATGGCTAGAGAGTAATCTTTCTGGTTTATTTATTTTTTTATTTATTAGTGGATATAGGTTTTCAAACAGCCTACGGAAGTTGAACCTAATGGTTCTCTTTCAGAAGTCCATATGTTTCAGTTCTCCTAAAAGTGGAAAACTAAAAATTGGTCATGAAGCAGAAGCATGCTGTGCCTGAACATGGACTTTAAGGCATATGGAACTCATTTCAAGATCAGGACCTGCATGTCTTAGTATTATTAAGAGGAGGTAACTTTTAAAACCCAGATCCTCCTCACTTAATACAAACATGAGACTCATTTTAATAATTCTTTCTTTAGTTGCATTCTTCTAGTTAGCATTACAAATGATTATGTCAGTGTTCCCACTTAGCTTAAGGCAGCTCTGATTTAAAGTATACTGTCACAAATTCTGTTCTCATTAACGCTGATGCAGCTTGCTCTGTTGTGCAGTAGATCTTGCATAATACTGGAAGACCACTAAGAAGCTATATGCTTCAAAAACCCAAAGTCTCAAAAAACTGGTCCAAAAAGATCTTAGTTGTCTCAAGTAAGTTATGGACCATATATAGTTATCTACCTCATATTGCAATCCTGAAAGTCTGAACTTTAATGTCATCAAACTGGAGGAAGTCTGTCCACAGCTTGCTTCAATTTACAAAGTTCTGAGAAGCTGAATTTGTACTTTTGTGGCTTTTCAAAAAACTCTTACTCTTGGACTGTCTAAGCAACACATTTCAAACCCTTACAGGATCTACAAATAAGATGCTTTTCTTCTTTTCACTGGATAAGACAGTGCCTGCCTACAAAATCCAGTTTTGTGTAAAAAATAGTGAATTTTGTTTTACTCTATTTTTAAGCACAACCATGAAATTTGTGTTTAAGTGATTTTAGTATTCCTTTAGCCCAGAAGACGCTTACTCAGTTTTTGTCTTTATAGACTCAAAATCACAACTCCTAATTTCTGGAAAAACATCTTAACTGTGTCTCCTGATGATGCCGTTCATCTTGATAATATGATTAAAGTCCTGCTGCGACAGGTTGTGAGTGTGTGTGAATGCTGACTCCCAAACATAGTGGATAAGACTGAAGGGAGAGGATTGGCTTACATTCTTTACTCCCTGAAGTTGCAGTATGTCCCTTGCGTGAAACTGTCATTGAAGAAAATTCTCCATACTGTCAGTAAGCCTGACCTTCCAAGAGTAATCAATGAGTTGTAGGTTTTCCGATGGAAGGGTGGTGCATGCTTGAGTCACTCTGGACAAATGAAAAAAGCCTCTGGCTCTCCTGCTTCCTCAGAGAACTGTCATGAATTTCTATTCTGTGATTCAAGTGCTCTTGGTGGTTTGTTTACCATTTCTAAGAGGTCTATAACACGTAATTCAAAAGGATTCCTACTAACAGTTGCTTTCAGTTTCCTAAATAGGGCTCTCTCATATCTTTAAGAGAATCTGTTGGGAGGTCAAAAATTGAAAAGTTATTCAAAATACTGCTGCAACATCTCTTCATGCAACTACATGCTCTTCATATTCTTGTGAATAAATCACCATGGTAGTCACATTCCTTCTTCTCCAGCTGGTTTAAAGGAAAGAGTGGCCTCTCATTCATTTCTGAAAGATAGCACTCTGGAATTCTGCACTCTTCTGTGTGTTCTAGAGGCAACCAAGGTGCTGCTGTGAGGGATATGCAACTTGAGGATGAACATTTCAATCACTAAATGACTTCCTGAAGCTTTACCTAACCTAACTCAAGTCCCAAAAAAATTACCCAGACACTTTACAAAATTTTATGTTCTGTGAACTGTGTTATATGGAGGCACAAGGGGAGTTTCTGTGGGGTTTGGTGTCCTTGATTTTATTTTTTTTTAATCAGAGAAATGTCAGAGAATGGCTCCATTTTCCCAATTAAAAAACAAAAAAAGTCAGAATTACAGAGTAATTAATCCTCCTTGAAGACATTTACATCCAAATAGCAGCAACTGATCTAATGAACTCAAATTTACTATGCTACAATGAATGTAGATCATGGAACAAAGCATAGTTGGGAAAAAAATTAATATTTATACAGTGTCATTCTTAAACAAAGACATCCAGAATAATTAAGTATGTGTGTGTATGTAAGAATGAGTTTCTGTAATTAGAAAGCATTCTTTTGGTACATTTTATAGCTTAGGATGCAATGAAAACTATTTAATTGTATTTCAAAGAGCAGTCCTATTTGGTGAACGAAAAGATTTTTTTGCTTAGTTTTACGGATAAATATAGAAGCTCTACTTGTTTTCCCTGAAACTGCTGAAATCTTGGCCACTGACGTCAAGAGAGCAGGCTTAGGCTCAAGCAATACTTGTCAAATGTATTTCGTTCAATTTACAGCTATTTCTTCTCAGCTGCCGCCCGTCTTCTAAATGCAGTAAACAGCGGCATCTAGAGGCTATTCTTAAGTACTGCACGTCAGCCCCAAAACAGCATCTTTTCTGCGAAGGCTTTGACAAGCAAAGTGAAAGCATGAAGCTAGACAGTTGCCATAGTAATATTTTATATATATATATATATATATTACTGAATACTTGGCTTTTGGGACGCTTGAAATCCTAACACACTATCACAACAAAATACTTGAATGCCTTAAGGCTGTTCATTTAATCACAGGCATTTAAAGAAATTAAGCTTAGAAAATCCACTGTTAATGTGAAACCTTGGGTTTAGTTCTGTTAAGGTGACAAATTGCCATCATAGAAAATAAGGAAAAAGTTGGTAATATCATGTAGTTTTGACCAATGCATGTTTAAATAGTTACCATTAGCTATTTGTGCTTACTATAACATAATTCAAATTACACTAAGAAATTTATAAAAAGTATTTTTAAAACCTAACTAATCCCAGGATATAATAATTTTTATTTCATCAAACAACTCTATGGAACCTATGGTAGGAAACAATATCTTTGAAATATCTCCTGCTTGTTACAGTTTCATACTATTTTTCAAAAATTTAGATATCTAAGATTGTGTCTTATTTCAGTCATGGGTCTGGCAAGAGTGCAGTCTGTATAGAACTTGAATGCAATGGGTGCGTTAGGATGTAACTTATGTGTTTTACAAATGAGTTGCATTAAGAACATACCATTTCTTAATGAGGTTTTAATGTTAATTAAATGAAAAAAAATTATAATATGAAATAAAATCAAACAAGACGTGATACAGGGATTTAATTACAACAAATTTTTGGTAAAGCTGTCAAGTTAACTACTTAAAGATAAAATCTTTGATAGTGTGGTACTGGCTAAAAGCAATCTTCCTTTTATAATTCTGTTTAAATTGAAGTGACCATCCATTTTGAAGGTTGACATCACTTACATCCAACAATAAGCTTACATTTATTAGGGTACATATTATGGGAGTATTGATAGTGTTAGAATGGTGACTGAGGTAATTAAAAACTCTACTGCATTCAGTGAATTACTGTCTGACAATGAAGGTTGCAAACACTTGAGGAAATTAAGCTAAAGGAAAGAGGATACCTGTAAATTGACACTTTTCCTATTATAGTGACTCTCTCAAACTGTCATGACAAGGACAGTAGTAACATGATCTTAATTGTAATCAAGTAGAAATAATAACTCTAAAATAATTAGAAATACTGTTTCAAACTCACTTGTGTAATCAAAAGGCCTTACTTTCTCATGTAAGACCAAAAGAGCTGATAGTGCACCCAGTTATGAGGGACAAAGGTAGAGGGGATGGAGGAAGCTCACATCATCCAGGGCTTCCTCCTGGAGAAACAGAGACCACAACCCCACAGGAGTAGGTGCTTCGTTAAGCACGACTCCACTGTATTTGAGTGTTTGCCTGGTAAATGTGTTCAGAAGGAGGAAAAAAATGTGTTGATGCAGTTACACAGAACCGTTCTTATTTCATGCACTTTCTTTTATTTTCAGATGGAGGGACACTGTGAGTCTGACTGCTCCCTGTCCAGAGCTCAAGAGGCAGCATACACAACAGAGGGTAAGTTTCTGCACATTAGTGCTTTTAACATGCTCACTAATGTTTATACATCTCCAGAGGGTTTTAGTGTAGGAAGACAGTTGCTCTAGCAGGGTATCTGGAGGTAAAGTGTGAACTCTAAGGAAAGAAGTGAAAAAAGCAAACAGATGGACTTCCTATTTCGAGATAGCTGGGGAAATGGAAGCGGTCCATGGGAGTATCAAATAGGAAAATGAAATCTCTTGCAGTAGATACTTTTTTTTTTTTTCGGTTGCAAAGTAATGCTTTATACAATTTAGCTGTAGAGATGATACGCATTTAGGAAGCACTAGGTAGCAAAAGATGTAGGAATACTCTGACAAGGAAGGGCTGCAGTCACAAAGGCCAAGACTGAAGCAGAAACAAAGGCAACACCGAGAGAAAGGGTATGAATTAGGAAACAAAAGGAGAAAGAGAGCAGCATCTATGCAAGTTTCTTATAATTAAAACAATATTTTTGATTGGTCATTATACAACCATATTTTTAAGCTTAATTGCAGCATTGATGAGAATATTTACATTTTATACGTGCTCTTATTTGATAGTATTACAGTGAAGTTGTACATCTGTCAAGTTGTCAGTGGTCTAATGCCTTGATCTGTAGTGCCCTTAGAGGGTGATATAGTTCAATGTTAAAAGCACTTGCTGGAGTGTCTCAGACTGTTCCCACCAAATACCTTCAGTGCTTCAAAAAATGGATTCTGTGGAAAGAATCACACAAATACAATTGCTGCAAGTGTGAAATCTCAAAGTAAAATTCTTGGTGTAACTACTTTCCAAAATGTAACTTTTGCTCAAAATTAGTTTTGTTAGCTCATTACAAATGAATATTTGTATTAAAATGGGAAGGGGTGTCCATGAACTATCAGCATGCTAAGTCTCCTATATTATCTGCACTACTATTATATGGAATGTTGAGGTGTTATTTCTCTTCATAGAGAGTTTATTTTTCTGGAGGGCAGCCAGGAATTTCCATTTCCACAAATATAGTTCACTGTTAAAAATACTGTAGGCTTTCATGAATTCATTTTTGGGAGAGACATGGTGCAATTTAAAAAACTGTAGGAAGGAACAACCCTGGCAAATCACATTTTTCTCTGCTACACTTAGTTTTTACTTTCTCGGTAATAGTTAATTACATGCCATATTGAAAATCCTCCTTTGCACTGGAAAACAGTTGAGAAACAGCAGGAGTTTATGAAGCAAATACCTGCCCTTACATACCAATTCATGGAACTGGGAAACTCTTACAGACAGCAATATAGATGAGGGTAAAGAAGATTGTGAGAACAAGCTTTAGCTGATGGTGTCAGAGGATTGCTGCTGGAACCATCTATTAAATGTGGATTCCTAGTATTGGACTAGATAATCACACTGAATTGATAGGATAGCACAGCTCGCAATGGCAGGAATATGTTTGCAGGAAATTTATGTCAAGGTTGCCTTGGAGCTGCCAGCATCATACCAATATAAGATTTCCTTGTCTATAGAGATGCATTTTGTCGCAAACATCTGGAAACATTTCTGGCTGCTGCTGGTCAGTTGCAAACCTACTTGAAACCACTGCCATGTCATACCTAACACTGGGGATCAACAGAAATGCAGGTCTCAATAAAAGAGTAAGGCAGGAAGACACGTTATGGTGAAACATCTATATTAAAAGCTTCATATTCTCAAATGGCAGCTTTGGAAGCAGCTTGTACCTGTTAAAAAAAAACCAAACAAACAAACACCACCACAAAACCAAAACAAAACCAAACCAAACCAAACAAAAAAACCAAAACCAAAACAAACAAACCAAACCAAAACCAACCAAACAAACAAAAAAAGAAAACCAACCCAGACTTTAATCTTTCTTTTCTTTAAGGAAAGCACCTGAGTTTGATATTGTGTTTTTAGCTTTTGGCAAAGTATGCTGTATTGGGAATACTTTGCACAACCACAGATATGAGAGTGCTTGCATTCCTGCTCTTTAGGTTGTCAATTTTAGAGCATATATGTCCATTAATAATTTTCAAACATTTTAAGTATGGAGATACACATTTAGACCTTGCGGCTTATGCTTGATTTTCAACAATATAAGGAGCTTTGTTTTGTATATGTTCTGTCTTTAGTTAGGTGAGGCTCAGACAAGCTGGGGCTGGGTCAACAGCTGGTTGACATACTCTAGGACGTCTTTGAGTCCTCACTGTTGATCTTGCAGTTAGAGACCTTTCTGGTGTGCTCTGTGATTCCTCTCTAGTCTATGTGCTCAGATTTGTTTTACAAATAAAAAACCAAGTGCAGAGGAAGGAAAAAAAAGTGGAAGTTAATAATTTTCTGCTCTGAAGTTGAGCCTGTAACAGATCCATCCACCCAGAGTAATAATAATCTAGAGTGGAAATACTTCAGATTTATATTCCCATATACCAGCGGGATTCTGCTTCCGAACATAAAAGGCTCAAAATTAGTTAATAAATGTCATGATCTTCTGCATGGGCTCTCTGAAATCTGAATCCTTTACATAGCATGTTATTTGCAGAAAGAAACCCTCGTGGAACTTCTCTCCGTATTCACATGGTAAGAAAGCAAGCAACTAAAAGAACTCTGAGAGAGAACAAAAGGACAAAACCAAAGCAAACTAAAAAAAAGTGTTGCTTAGCAATGCATCCTGTACCACTCCAGGGGGATGGTCTTTGTCACAGATATTTACATGTTGTGAGTAGAATTTATTGAAAAGCAGAGAAACATTTGTGCAAAGCCAAAACCAGAAGTAAATGGTATATTGCATTTTTCTTTCAGTGCTGTAAAGATCAAGTTAGAAGAAAAGACACAAGTAAAAAATGCATGTATATGTGTGTTTTTAAAGGGAACTGATTTGGAAAAAACCTGGTTTTGTTTGTTTGGTTTTTTTTACGTTCTCTTTTCTTTTCTACTCCTGCCCTGTTTGTGCCCTTTGGTTCAGTGCACTGAGTGATAGCTCTGTTAGGGTTTATTTTTATCATTGTGACTTTGTGCCTATGAAAGCTTCACAATGATGAAAAAAAAGGAATATTTAACTTTAGAAAACTGGGTGTTGGAAGAGTGGCATATAAAAAAATTTCAGATCTTAATATTTCTTTTGGTGCTTTCATGACTGAGGATGTGGAAGAATGAGAAAGATGGAAAAAATCCTTCAACATTGCTCATATTACAGTATTAAATTGCAGGGAGCGGGAAAATAAAAAGACAATAAATTGAGGACATTTCAACATTTGCATTACTTACTGTCTCCAAATCTTTTAAGAATTATAATTGAAAAAATCTGTAGTAAGAAAAAAAATCTTTAACAATTGTCTTCGTTCTTTCAAGTCGTTACTTTTCGTTTATTTTTTTTTTTCTAGAAAGTCTTGCCAGTTTAGACATCTCTTTCCCCCCCTTATGGTTGGTATCTTTTCCAGCAGACTGCTACAGACCTCATTCCAAATTGGTGACAGTGTACTTTTTTATCCTTTCCCTTCTGGTGCAGCACATTCAAATGATAAAAAACCTTATCATGTGAATGTGCTCACTGAGTACATGATACCCACACATCATGCATATTAGTTTTCACATGGATTGATTGGTGCCATGCTTTAGGTTACAGGTTTTGTAGTTTCCTATGAGGTACATTTCTGAGTGCAGCATCCTACACTGTCCAAGGTATATTTCAGAGCTTTTTTTAATTCCATTTTATTTTAGCATTTTATCGAGTATAATGCATAGCATTTTTTATAGCAAATTCTGGCTAGGAACATTTTACAGCATAAACTTGCATATGTATGAAAATATATAGAGATGACAGGGCACGGATGAGGCAGAAGGTAGAGAGTATTTTTAACCTCTAACATTCTCAACACTCGGTGCAAGGCACCATTTATTTTATAGTGGAATTTGTACACGTCTTCCAATGATTAAAAAAAATTGAATTTAAGGCACAGAAAGTGTCATATTTTGGCTCTAATATTACAAGACAGAGACACCTTGCTGTTTGTGCCAGTATAGATAACTATGTTCTTTTATCACCTTAGAAGGAATCCTTCTGAGGAATGAAAATCCTCAGTACCTTCCTGATCTGTTCTTCTTAAACAAGCAAGTTCTCTGCTTCCTGGCTGCACAAGTGAATGACATTTTACTATGTAAGAAATGTGAGAGAAATACACATAGGATTAGTCGCTTGTCCTCCAGTAATCTCTTAAATTCTTTTAGCCTTTCCTACTGCTTACCACCGTGTCGTGGTGACATGTTAAACAGCCTGAGTTATTTGTTTGTTCACAGTTTCTGCGAGCAGGATGTTTTTCTGAAAGGCTATGCTGGACAGCAAGGTCAAAAGCTGCTGCTTTGTTTTGTCCTGGATTTTGCACCCTCTGAAGGGAGAGAGAGTTGGTGTTATCTCCAAGAGCGAGTTTAGAGGCTTTGCTGGACAACCTTTGGCAAGTGCAGGGTGGAGCAAGCAGGGAGCCTGCAGCTGGCGTGCAAGTCAGTGAGAAAGCAGAGAGCACAGACACAGAGGTGACAGAAAGGAAACTTTTTGAGACAGTCAGAGGGAATCTGCTGCAATCCACTACAAAAACTGCAGGAAGGAGAACAAGGTAAAAAGGAAGGATGGGCACAGTGGATAGGGGAAAAATTTTTTTGCAAAAGGTTTAAGCTGTTTTCCCCAGAAAATCTTCCTTTTCTCTATTGTAATAGTTACCCTATCCTACCTTCTGACCTAGTCAATGATTATTTTTAACACTAAAAGCGCTATTTTGTGGTTCGATGTAAGGAATTATGTTGGCACACCTACCTTGTGTCTCTGACTGACTCAGTGTCACATCACATTGACCAGCAATTTGCACAATGAACAGCCTCTCAGACACAGGACAAGAGGAAAAGCTTACCACAATGCCAGTCTACATCCGGAAGAACTGAGGTGGAAAAAGTCCTACGGTTTCCCAAAACAGGGAAGGGGATGTGAAGGTAACATTTCTGAACTGGATGTA